GAAATTACTGTTTTTAAACATATATAAAATGCTCAGAAGTTAAATTGTAAAAGCATAATACTTATAACATGCTTTATGTTAAGGCTAGTAATTCAGATTATCATATAACCTGGGCTCTTTCCAGCTCCAAAATAAGGTCTCCCAATAATTTTATGCTTTAAAATAAAATAATTATATGTTTAATATAAGAAAAGCAGACAAAACCAGATTGTACATGTATTACTGCTCCTTGCAGCCATACTCCAAGTTGCCACCAGCTTTCTCCAATAAAAGACCCAGTGCCAACAACACACAGAGGCTTCTTTTTCTCCACATCTCGCCAACATGCTTTTTGGTACAGGCCATTCTCACAGGTGTGCAGTGGTATCTCATTCGGGTTTTAATTTGCATTTCTCTGATGATAAGCAGTGATAGCATTTTCATGGGCCATGTCTGCCACATACAAAGGAATGCAAATTATCACTATCTCACATCATACACAAAATTCAAATCAAAATGGATAAAAGACTTGTTTATAAAACCTGAAACCATAAAAATACACAGAAAAAGACACAGGCAAAACCACAACACAGCCTTCAGTGATGTCTTTGTGGATTCATCTCCAACAGCAACAAAAACAAGAGAATATAAATAGTTGAGACTGTATCAAACCAAAAGGTTTCTGCACAGCAAAAGAAGCTATCTCTAAACAAAAACGCCCTACTGAATGAGAGAAAATATTTGCATACCATACATCTGACAAAAGGCTGATATCCAAGACTCATACAACACAACAAAAACAAATAACCCAATAAAAAATGCAGTTACTTCTCCAAAGACTGTCCCCTAAGATTAGACACAAAAATGCCCACTCTCACCGTAACTTTTCAGCACTACATTAGAAATTCTAGACAGAATAATTAGGCAAGAAAAAGAAATGGATGACTTCTGTTAATCATCCAAATTGAAAAGGGTGAATTAAAACTATTTCTGTGTGCATATGACATGATCCTAAACACAGAAAATCCCAAGGACTCACACACACAAAAAAAACCCTACTGGAGCATTTGAAGGAATAAGATACCTACAAGCACATTTAATCAAGAAAGACTTATACACTGAAAAATACAAAATACTGCTAAAAGGAATGAAAATATTAAATAAATGGGATAGCCTATGTTTATGATTTAAAAGTCTTAATACTGTGAAAGTGGCAATACTATCCAAAGCAAGCTAAATATTTATGACACAGAATATATTGACCAGTGGCCTTTATGCAGAAATGGGAATACCAGGCCTCAAATTCATATGGAACTGTAAGGGATTCCAAGTAGTCAAACAGTACTGAAAAAGAACAAAGTTGGAAGATTCACACTTCCCAACTTCAAAATGTACGACTAAGTTTACAGTAATCAAAACACTATCGTACAGGCATAAAGAGAGACATGTAGACCAAAGAATTAGAATTGAGAGTCCAGAAATATACCCATATATTTTACATTTAACTGATATTTGACAAGGCTACCAAGGCCATTCAGTAGAGAAAGAACAGTCTCTGCAACAAATGGTACTAGGACAATAGGATATCATACACAGAAGAAAAAAGATGACCTCTATATCATACCATAGACAAAAATTAACTCAGAATGGATCTGTGACCTAAATACTGATATAAGAGATAAAACTATAAAACTCTTATAAGAAAACATAAGGTTAAATCTTCATGACCTCGGATTTGGTAATGGACTTCAAAGACACAAGCAACAAAAGAAAAAATAAAAAATCGATAGTCATTAGACACTCTTGTACACCAAAACAACACAACCAACTGCAAGGACCAACTGCATAATGAGAGAAAAATTTTGCAAATCAAGTGTCTAGTATCCAGAATATTAAGGCATTTTAACAACAAAAAAGACAAAAATCTTTTTTAAATGGGCAAAGAACTTGAGTCAGTATTTTTCCAAAGAAGAAACATAATAGTCAATAAGCTAGTAAAAAGATGATCAATGTCATTTGTTATTAGGAAAATGAAAATCAAAACCACAATGAGATCCCACTACATACCTACCAGGATAACCATAATTTTCAAAATGGAAAGTAACAAGTGTGTGGAAAACTTGTAACCCTCATACACTGCTGGTGGTACAGGTGCTATGCAAAACAAGTTGGCAGTTAAATACAGAATTACTGTTTCAGCAGACAGTTCCACTCCTAGGTGTATACACACAAAACTGGAAACCAGTACTCAAACAAATACTTGCTCACAAATATTGATAACAGCACCATCGATAATAGCCAAAATGTATAGACAACCCAATTGCCCACAATGGATGGATGGATGGATAAACTATGGTAAATACATAGCAGTGGAATATTATTCAGCCATTGAAAGGAATGAAGTACTGATACATGCTACAACACGGGTGAACCACAAAAGCATCATGTGAAGTAAAAGCAAGGCAAACATACACACAATCACATACATTTTGTGATGCTATTTATATGAAATATCCAGAATAGACAAATTCACAGAGACAGAAAGCAGAATGATAGTTGCCAGGGGCTTGGGGAGAACTGGAGAGTTACCACTTAGTGGTACAGGGTTTCCTTTTGGGACAGTGAACTACAGAACTAGAGAGAAGTGATGGTAGCACAACATTTTAACGTGCTAAGCATGCCACTAATTTGTTCACTTCAAAATGGTTAACTTTATGTCATGTGAATTTCACCTCAATAAAAAGAAAATCAGCAGATAGATACTAAATATCATAAATAATCTTATTTTCCCCAAATAGCCACAGTGCAGGCCATTTACAAAATTGTCTGGTTAGACCGTAACAGAAATCTCAACTAATTTCAAAGGGTACATGTTCTAATTATAACACAATGAAATGAAAAATAATTAATTCAAAACAAAGGACTCTAATAATATGGAATTTTAAAACTCTTCTAAATAATTTTTGAATTAATGGGAAAAAAAATTAAGGACATCCAAAACTTTCAGTTCTCAAACTCTGATGTGCATTCATATTACCTAGGAAGAGTTTCTGAAAAACAGAAGTGAAGACCCTGTACTCAGATTCTAATTCAGTAGGTCTAGAAAGGTGTTAGAGCATCTGTATTTGTAATAAACCCTGCAAATGAGGCTGATGTTCACCAAATTTCAGAAACCATGCAAGAAAAAAGAAAAAAAGCCTATCAAAAATTGTTTCATACAAAGCTGTATTCTAATGCATTGTTTAAAATAATATTTAAATAAAAAGAACATAAACTAAGCAGTCAAATTAAGATTTTAAAATAAAGGATTAATGAAAACAGGAAACTAGAACTGTGAATAAAGACTGATTAGGAAACACAAAAAGCAGGCCTCCCTGGTGGCGCAAGGGGTGAAGACACAGCACTATGAAGCTATCTGCAGCCACTGCAGCAAGAGTTCAATCCCCAGCCAGGGAGGTGACCCAGATGGCCCAGCAGACCTCTCCTGACTCGCCTGTTGCTCCACTCAGCAGTGTATTTAGTCAATCCACCTTTTCTGTTCCCTACTCTGTCTCTGGTGACTCACCCCCCACACCTCTGGCCTGTATCCCAGTTCTTGTATGCATAAATAAATAAATCTTTAAAAAAAATTAATTTGGCCCTTTAAAGAAATATAAAAGTAAGGTGGGAGAAGGTTTTATAAAAATGCTATGAACCTGAAATTCTTTGCATTGCAAAGGAATTTTTTTTTAAGATTTTTTTATTTATGTATACAAGAGCTGGAGCACAGGCCAGAGATGGGGCGGGGGGAGGCATGAGAGGTCCCACCAGAGACAGAGTGGGGAACAGAACATACAGACTGACCAAAACACACTGCTGAAGGGAGCAGAGGGCGAGACAGGAGAGGTCTGCTGCGCCATGTGGATTTCTCTCTGGCCGGCCAGGGATTGAACTCAGAGGCTGCGTTTTGCTTCACAGTGCAGTGCTTAACCCTTTGTGCCACCAGGAGGACCGTAAAGGAATTTTTTATAAGTTAATAGGTTAATAGGTTAATAGGTACTCAGAGACTATCACACAGCTTCACTAATAAGAGAAATAGACTTAATTCTCCCTGATTCAAAAGCAAATCTCAAAAGAATCTCATGATATAAATTATTTAATTTTCAAGTTAAAAAATAGTCAAAATGTCACCTTCAGCTTTACAGATACTATTGCAGTTAACAATTCATTTTTATTTTAAAGTTACTTTGCAGTATATTTAACTTTAATTGGTATTCAACAAAGGAAACCAGTAAATGATGGTCATCTGTAGAGAAGCCAAGTGCTATTGTCAATAATTAATATAAGGGAAATAAAATGAAATTTTCTTTAATAAAGAGAAGAGAGCTATGGTATATACAATTTGTGGTTTCCCAAATTACTTGGTGGCTTAACACACCAGAAATTTACTCTTTCACAGTTCCAGAAGCTAGAAATCTGAAGGCTACACTTCCTGGGATGGTCTAGGGGAGACTCCATTCTCTGCATCCTACAGCTCTGATAGCTGCCAGAATTCTTTGACTCGTGGCCACGTCATTCCAAATCTCTGCCTTCAGTCACATTCCCTCGTGTGTGTGTGTGTGTGTGTGTGTGTGTGTGTGTGTGTGTATGTGTGTGTGTGTGTGTGTGTGTGAGAGAGAGAGAGAGAGAGAGAGAGAGAGAGAGAGAGAGAGAGAGATTGAGAGAGATTCCCCCCCTCCCCTTCCCTCTTATGAGAATACACAGGATTGCATTTAGTGCTCATCCACATAACCAAGGATAGCTGTCCAAGCTCCAGATCCTCAATTTAATCACATCTGCAAAGACCCATTTGGGCCACATTCACAGGTTCCAGGGATCAGAACTTGCATTTCATCTGGAGACACATTTCCAGTCTGTCACCGTATATCACCTTAAGAACTTAACAGGTCAAACATTTTCATCAGCAATTAGATCGTCTTAGGCTCTAGGTGTTTCCAACGCAAGGTTACAGGCCTCTGGCCTTTAGAAGTATAAACACATACCTCTAACATACACGCAGGAATCTCTCACCAGGTGTGCAGGAGAATATCACAAGGAGGCTCTATTTGCCTCAATAACGTAAGAGAAACATCTATTTTGCTGTCAAAGAAAAAGTGAAATTCTACTTGAATTTAGCAGCCTCTTTTGAATGATCCACATGCATATAAATGACATAACTACGCAATCAAGTTTTCTTTAGATGCTACCTTGGTATTGGGGGTGGGGGGTCTTTCTGTTGCCAGGATTTTATTTCCCCAATACATTTTTTTTTTTTTGGTGGGACCCTCGCCGGCGGCCGGGGAACGAACCGGCACTGCAGAGGCCGCGGGCAGCCTCGCATCCTAGGACTCAACCGCTGCGCCACCAGGGGAGGCCCCCCCAATACATTTTATGAAAATTCTGCCAACAAAAAGATTAATAAATAATAAACTAAGTTTCTAAGTTCCTTAATGAATTTGAGATGAACTACTTTCCAAAGACAAAATTTATTTTTATATTCTAAATTTTTTCAGACAAAATTTCAAGGCCCACTAGTCCTCTAATCTCCTCCAAAATCAAGCAGTTTTTACTCTGTAAAATCAAAATAAAATCCTGATGAATTAATGACATGTAAAATATGAAAGCATTAAGACGCAAAGTAGGAAAAATAAGCAAAGAATCAAAATAGTCACTTATGAAAAGATACACTAAAAAAGAGGAAGAAAATGAAAGCAATGTGATGCCCAGTTTCCAGTCTGACAGTAATATGTAACAGAAGGGATGGTATGGGGAAATGAGACTCTTAAATATACTATCACAGAGAGTATAAACTGATAGAGCCTTTTTAAAAAGCAATTTAGCATAACTGGCAAAAGTTTAAAGGCAAAAACATTTTCACTCAATATTTCTTTCATTTCTACTCTTCTACAAAACAGCTCATAAAACTGAGAAAAAAATAGATGTATACAAATGCTCGCTGAAGGTCTGTATATGCAAATTAGAAATAGCACAAGCAGAACCTACCTGGTTGTAGTACTGGGTTAAATAACACAGCCTGTGATACCTGGCAAAGGATAAATACTCTGCACTCTGGAACCACAACTTCCTGATACCAACTGAGTGTCCTGTAATTCAAATCAGTTCTGATGCTCAGAATTTGCATCAGATCCCACAAGTTAAGGGCAAGGGCCCCCAAAAATGCTCTTACTCCAGAGATACCCAAACTATTTGGCACTTTTGTCAAACTTGGCAATGAATACAGCAGTTCCCACCACTCCCCTTGAGGTGCGGTAATTTGCTAGAACACACAGAACTCACCAAGAGCATGGTACTTAAACAATTACAGTTTTCTTATAAAGAATACTACTCAAACAGGCAAAGGGCAAGGTCTAGGTAGACAAGGTCTAGGTGGAGGGGATGGGAGATTCAGAGCTTCCATGCCTTCTCTTCAAGAAATTCAGGGGTCACCCTCCAAGCATATCAATATGCTCATCAATCTGGAAACTCCAATGTTCCCAGAATCTGTATAAGGGGCTTCATCACAAAGGCATAATTGATTAAATCACTGGCCATGTGACTTGAACTCAACTCACCCCAGATGTTCCAACTCTCTAATCTAGAGTTTAGTCTTTCTGAGGCTGCCAGCCCCTCTCCTGAAACTAGATTATCTTAGTGTCCACCCTGAGTCACTTCACTACATTAAACTCAGGTTTGATTAAAAAGGCTCAGAATGAATAAAATACTCCTATAGTTCAGAAAATCCCAAGGGCTTTTATAAGCTTTGAGTCTAGAACCAAGCACAATGACCACAGATATATTCATTTTTATATCACATACACAATAAATGGAAGCTATTATTTTAGAAACTTGTAGGATCAGCCCCCCCAAAAGATGTTCAGATAGTTTTTCTCCAAGAAATCCAGAGTAGGTGTTTTCCAATAGATGTCACCTTTGTATTTGGAACTAAGGTCAATCAGGGTCCTGTGGGACTCTGGAGAAATGTTACCTAATCTTAAATAATGCAAATTACCGAGATTTAGGGCCCTATCCAGAAATAACCTCTTTATATAATAAGCCTATCTTAAGGCAAGACAAACATCCAAGGCAAGGTTTTGTAATATGAAGCATCCCCCCCATTACACGAGACCCCCTCTTTCTCCTGGATGCCCCAGGCCTCTATCCCATTCCTCAACAGGATATAATATCCTGGTATGTCCCAGTTACTTTAGAATTTACAGCCATGTAAATTCTCCATACACATGTAATTAAATTTGGTCTTTTTTCCTACTAATGTATCTAACTTTGATTTGTTTGCTCACCCAGCCTCAGAAGAACCCAGAGGGGAGGGAGAATTTCCCCTGTACCCCAAGAAAACCTACTAGTAGGTTGTTAAAATAATGTAAGCATAAAGATAAAGAAGGGGAAAACAATCAAAAGAATTATAAAAGCAGCAGCAATAGCAAAAAGGGAAAACAACAACAACAACCTGTGGGGCAAATTGACTATGAGGTTTCAAGTATACAGAATAGGCATAACTAGGCAGATACTGAAGATGTGATCAAGAATGAATTTAGGAGCCTCCCTGGTGGTGCAAGGGGCTAAGCACCTCTCCCAGCTACTGCAGCACAGCACGAGTTCGATCCCCAGGCTGCCAGGAAGCTACCCACATGGCGCAGCAGACCTCTCCTGTCTCTCCCACTGCTCCCCTCAGCAGTGTATTTCAGTAGGTCTGCCTGTTCTGTTCCCCACTCTGTTTCCGGTGAATCCTCTCTCCCTCCCGCTCCTCTGGCCTGTACCTCAGCTCTTATATGCATAAATAAATAAATCTTAAAAAAAAAAAAAAAGAATAAATTTAGCAGTGGTCCAGGTGCGGCTGAAGACAACAACCAGAAATTTCAAATAACACTGGATAGAGAATGTGACCGTAAAGATGGGAAAAGTACATGGGCAGAGTCAGCTATCAGAGTTATCATAAAGAGAGCATAACAGAGACATCTCCACAAAACCAGGGACTTGGGGGACTTGAGAGAGACACATGGGGAAGCTGACAATGGCTGTGGTTATTCTGATTTGTACTTTGATTTTGCTTCTTTTGTCCCAGACTTACCTGGTCCTTTTTGCCCTCTTTTTATGGGTCCCTACCAGAAGGTGCATTAGATATTTCTTTCAGGCTTCAGTGAGGCACTTTGGGCCAAGACCGTCTAGCTGAGCATTGACCCACAAGGGGGCCGGTGACTTTGGGTGTTTTATTAGGAAACCTTCCTTCTCTTCTTCTCTATGCACACTAATTCTATTAAAGTTATTTTATACAAAGCATAAGAATATGCTTTGTCTTTGTGCACATGAGTGTCCAGACTTCTTTAGAACATTCAGCTTTGGGGGTCCACAGGGTCTGCCCACTAATAACAAAGAAAACCCTCATTGCTCAAAGAAGTATAGCAGCTCATGGTGTCGCATAAGCCAACTGCTTGAATCAAATAAAAACAAGTCTTTGCACATAACAGAAAATGTAATATAGGGCCTCCCTGGTGGTGAAAGGGGTTAAGCACTGCACTAAGAAGCAATCCGCAGGCTCTGCAGCACGAGTTCGATCCCCGGCTGGCCAGGGAGCAACCCACATGGAGCAGCAGACCTCTCCTGTCTCACCCGCTGCATCCTTCAGCAGTGTATTTTACTCAGTCTGCCTGTTCTGTTCTCCACTCTGTCTCTGGTAAATCCTCTCACCCCCCCCCCCACATCTCTGGCCTGTACCCCAGCTCTTGTATGCATAAATAAATAAATCCTAAAAAAAAATGTAATATAGAAAAAGTAATACCGAAAATATATTCTAAACTCTAGAACATATTTCATTTAATATTTTGGATTCTAAAAAAAAAACCCTCATTTTTAACATAAAGAATCACATGCTAAATCCAAACAGAAATGCTGTTTTGTTGACACAAAAGTACTATTTTATTTTCAATCAACAGGAAACATAGCCCTCTAGGAGAAATGTTTATTTTTCAAAGAAAAGATTATGGAACAACCATAGAATATCTCAACAATTCAACATAAACAGAACAACTCTGATCAATTCAAAAACTTCCTGTTCAGATAAGTGAAGCAAGATAAACACCTCAAGCATGGAAGTCATTATGCAGACTTTCTCAATACTTTTACAGTCTCGCTTTTAGAAAGTACACTCAGTAACTAGAAACTGCCTTGTTAACGGCCATGGTTCACAATTTATTTTTTCCCACAATGAACACATCATCTTGACCTTTTGTTGCTAGCTTCCCAGAAGAGAGTCCCAATTCTGTCTTTCAGCTGGTGAAGGTGAAAAATGGGAGAAACCAGAGTTAGGGGGTCAGCACACTAAGCTAGTCAGATGGTTCATGGTATAAAACAGCTATAATGGCCTGGAGCTGAGCCACTCAAGCTCTGACTAGATTAATGAACAGCTGTTAACTCAGGATGACAAGAGAACTGCGCCAGTCCTTCGGGAAAGGAGAGGAATGCCAAAGTATCTGAGAACCCAACCTGTGACCCACGCATGCCCCCAGGCTCCAAAAAGAAGTGGAGGCAGCAATGTTAAATCTTGGAGTTTTGCTTCTCTTTGATAGCAAGAACACCCCTGGCAAGAATATGGACAACAATGGCAAAAACCTGAGCCTATATCCCTAGATTCCTCCAAAAGGAATGGGGTTAAAGGACACCTCCCCTCCCAAAACACCATAAAACTTGGAGTATTCAAATTTCAAATATGGGTATAGAGAAACCCAAGATTTTCCTAAAGAAAAAAAGCCAACATGACTCTCTCTCCATTCCCAGGACCTTGACTCTAATGCCAAATTATAAGGACCAAATTGCATAAAACTTTAAAACATAAGTGTATTGAGCAGACTATTGCTTAAGTTTGTTAAAATGAATGTACAAACCATTTACAAGTATCGGTGACCCTATTTATAAACTCTGTCATTCACAAGGTAGACTTTGAACTGGGGCTTATTTTCATTATCTTAACTGAATAGCAGCTGAGGAGGCCACTGGTCTGAGCCCCAACTTGCTGTAATTATATTGCCCACAAGATGCCAAGGTCTTCCCCAGAACATCCTGAGTTAACAGCTGTTCATTAATCTAGT